GTACCTGCTTATTCACTTTGATCATAGCATGATCACTGAGCCAGTGTAGAGAATACGATTCAGGTCGTGTGATCATGGACAAACTTAATCATTTTACAACGTCGAGGCTGGCCACATTGGCACAACTTCCCCCGTCAATGATTACCGTCAAGTTTTTTCCGTTAACTTGGCACCTGGTGTGAAAGAGGTTACTTCGTTGATCTTCTTCAAACGGTTGTTGTTCCTCACTTGTCAATGCACGTTGAAGTACAAACAGCGGTCCTTTAACTGCTTCGATCTCAGCGTCCGAATTGATCTCACCTCCTTCGGTTTCTCTTCTTCTTCATCTTCAGAACAATATTGGCCGTCCCTAAGTACCAACACCTTTTGATTAGCGCATTAGTGTGCTTTGTGGCCATATCTGTGGCATTTGTAGCACCTAATGCTGCCACTAGAGGATCCATGCTTCTCCTGGATTGGTAGAGTAGCCTGCCTTGCAGGTTTGTCCGGCAAGTCCAACTTTAATTCGGGTTTAGGGACAGGCTTAGGCGCGCTGCTCATTGTGGTGAATCTTCGGCTCGAGTTGCTTCTCAACCTTAATTGCGAGGTGTACTGCCTCCTCCAATTCGAAAAATGTTCCCAAATCGACCTCATGCCGAATTTCGCGATTTAGTTCGTGAAGAAAACGCGCTATCGTGGCCTCCCTGCGGCCCTCGTCATAAGTAATTCCAGCTCACGAAAGTACTCCTCCACGCCCCTCGATCCTTGACGAATTCCTTGTAAGGACTCATGGAGTTCTCGTTGGTAATAACCAGGAACAAACGTCTCTCGCATCAGCCCGCGTAATTCTTTCCATGTTTCCACAGGGGCTTGCGAATTTCGTCGTCGCCGCGTTAGCACTTGTTCCCACCATTGAGCTGCATAATTGGAAAATTCATACGTAGCCATTACGAGCTTCTGTTGCTCAGTGAACTGACCACAGTGAAAAAAGAGAATTATTTGTCTCTCCCTGTCGAGATAGGCAGCATAGTTGATTAGTCCCTGAAATGGCGGAACGGTGAGCTTGATTCTTGGTGGGATAGCAGGTTCTATTTCGGGCGGCCTCCCACGATGTTCTCGTCGCCGTCGTCCATGATCAGGGTCCGCCACGATCAGCTTCTACTCCAAATCTTCAATTCGAGCCAGCAATTCTTGATTAGCATCATCGGCGTCGTTGGGGTCACGCTCCCCTGTCTGGTTTTGCCGGTTCTAGGCCGGATTCAGAGCGTCGAGTCTCTGCCCCTGTTGCTGCAATTGGCGCTCAATTTTGTCAAATTGGCTTTGAAAAATCGCATAGTCTGTGACTCCTGCCTGTCCCTGCCAGAAAATCTCATCCCCATCCTTCAGCCTTGAGATTGTGTTTCGATTTCTTCAATCTGAGGCTCTTCTATGTAAGTATTTAGCATTTTTATCTCCCCCTTTTAACCACTCATTTCTTGATCTTTGTTTCCAGGCAATCTCCTCTAGGATTAACACTTCATACAATTCCATTTCCAAAGCTTTGCATTTGCAGAAGAACATGTGCATCTTTCTTCCTTTTGCCAATCTTTTCTAAAGCATTCTCTATTTTTGTCTCCGAATCGCCAGACTACCATATTTCTATTTACTCCAGTTTTTGAGCTGTGTCTCGCAATTTGCAATCTTCATCATCATTAGAGATGTATTATATTGTACAGTTGGGTGGACTAAGTCTCGCCTAAAACAATCAAAAGAAACAAAAGGCTATCTCCTACGTTGCTAACTTGCATCTCTCTCGTTGGATAAATATGTTAATTATCATTTAAAGGGCACGAGCCGAAAATAGAACTGCCAATTGAAACACAAAAGAACATGCAGTACTAGCTAGACGCTTGTTTGAGCTTCCGGTCTTTAACTTGCTTTGAGTTTTCTTATTTGTTGGATGGATATATACACTTATTTTTGCTTTAAAGTTCAAAGAAGATGTGAAAATCACAAAAAAGAAGAACCAGAACTGAAAAAGCACGGTCATTATATTATTGGTGGGGTGGACGAAAGTTTCTAAAGAATAGCTACTTCAAACAAAAGTGCTAAATTCGTGTACGTACTTATAGTGATGTTAATTTGAACCCTTCCCGTCAAGTATTATCCAATCTGATCCGTGATGAGTTGGGTATTACTCAATCCGTAGTAATGTGGAGTGGGGCATGGATATCTACTTCCGACTTGCTATCTCCCGCGCCGCCCCATTCTTGACTCATTATATGTTAATTTCTTACAATATATATTCATATTTTTTCTATTTCGACTTTTCTTCAACTAGTTAGATTTGATCTTTCAGCTAATCATACTGACGAGTGAAAGAATTCACACGTCGAAGATCGCTAGATTACTTTACTTTTACTCTTAAGCAACTATGATAATTACTAGAATAATCTTCTTCTCATTCATAAATAAAAACGTAGAGGCAAGGTACATATTTATAGGACTAATCCCACAAACCCCTTTCCTCCAAAAATAAGGTAAACAAATCCTAAACCGATAAGTAAACAATTACTTTCTAAGCAAGACATAAGAATAATAATAAATACCAAGGCATAAGATGGGTAGATTTCGCTTCATGCCATGGCTGGCTCCTTGTACGCGGTGACCGTCCGCCTCATCACAACCATCTAGAAAGAGACGATAATAGCTCGGGTTGACGTCTTTCCTCTCACAAATTTATGAGCGATGAGGTCGCGAGAAAGTTGTCACTACCATCACCTTTTCGAGTCAAGGCGGCTGATGAAGAGACTCTCGGGTGTACTCGGTGCTACGAGGCAGTTCCAATAGAAGCACATGGGATGCGGTGGGAAATTGATTTGTTTGCGCTCCCAATTCATGGGCTTGTCCTTCGCAGTTAGTGGATTAGACAATCAAGTCCGACGTTTTTTTATTGGGAGCTCTCGACCATGAAAATCTTGCATAGGAGGCCATGGGTTACGTTGCAAGTGATAACGTGAATGATCGAACCCGATAATCATGTCGCCAAAATTTGGCCCAAGGAATCACCAACCTTCACTATCCTAGAAACAACGCATGTCGTCGATGTTGCTTCTACCGTGCAGACCAACACCGTTCCACCGCCACCACTATCGACACGGGTCGCATTCAATGACTTTGTTGCGATCTCTCGAGAAGCATTGGAAGCCTTCTCTGCATCTAAAACTCCCATCTCCGGGTATGAGTTTGTTTTTCCTCCAAGGATTGCCCCTTTCAATTTCCTAGTCCGCAAGGGGGGTGGAGAGTGGAAGGAAGAAGATGATGGTACGCAAGGGTTCTGCTAGGAATTGAAAGTTCAGGAAGTGGGCAAACAAAGAATCAAGCTACTCTATTTTGAAGATGCTCTTTCTCAACTGGAAATACAGGAAGCGCAAGCGGTATGTCGAGCCATCACGACCATTCGTCTAGCCATCACCACCGTTCGTTGTTGCCTTTATCGTCTACCAACCTTGGGGACGAGGTTGCTTAAGGGATGGATTGATGCATTATATCGGGCCGGTCACATGGGCCCAATTATTATTAGTATTTCTATTATTGGGTTTTGTATTTATTATAATTGTTATGTCTTGCTTAGGAAGTAATTGTTTACTTATCGGTTTAGGATTTGTTTACCTTATCTTTGGAGGAAAGGAGTTTGTGGGATTAGTCCTATAAATATGTATCTTGCTTCTACGTTTTTATTCATGAATGAGAAGAAGATTATTCCAGTAATTATCGTAGTTTTTTAGAAGTAGAAGTAAAGTAATCTAGCAATATTCGACGTGTGATAACTTTCACGCGTCAATTGGTATCAGAGCCTGGTTCTGATAGAACCGAGCTTGACACTATTTCCAAGGAAAGCATCATCGGCGTTCGACGAGCAACATTGGAAAGAGGCCAAGAGTGGAAGGAAGAACATGAGGATAAGCAAGGGTTGTGCTAGGAATTGGAAGTTTAAAAAGCGGGCAAACAAAGAATCAAGCTACTCTATTATTAAGATGCTTTGTGTGAAATGGAAGTACAGGAAGCGCAAGCGGCATATCGAGCCATCACCACCATTCGCCGTTGCCTTTATCATCTGCCAACCTCGGAATGAGGTTGCTAAGAGGGGTGGATTGATTCATTATGGCATCGGGCCGCTCACATGGGCCCAATTATTATTAGCATTTTCTATAATTGGGTATGGTATTTATTGTTATTATGTCTTTCTTAGGAAGTAATTGTTTACTTATCGGTTTCGGATGTGTTTACCTTATCTTTGGAGAAAAGGGGTTTGTGAGATTAGTCCAATAAATATGTACCTTGCCTCTACGTTTTTATTCATGAATGAGAATAAGATTATTCCAGTAATTATCGTAGTGGCTTAGGAGTAGAAGTAAAGTAATCAAGCGATCTTCGACGTGTGAATTCTTTCTCGCGTCAATTGGTATCGTGTGATAATCATGTCGCCAAAATTTGGCCCAAGGAATCACCACCCTTCACTATCCTAGCAACCACGCATGTCGTCGACGTTGCTTCTACCATTCAGAACAACACGTTCCACCGCCACCACTATCGACACGGGTCGCATTCAATGACTTTGTTGCGATCTCTAGAGAAGCATTGAAAGCCTTCTCTCCATCTAAAACTCCCTTCTCCGGGTATGAGTTTGTTTTTGCCTCCAAGGATTGCCGATTTTGATTTCCTAGTCACTAGAATCTCATGGGCGAGATTCTTTAAGGGGGTGGAGTACCGGAGATGGGAGTTTTAGATCAGAGAAGGCTTCAAATGCTCCTCGAGAGATCGCAACAAAGTCGTTGAATGCGACCCATGTCGATAGTGGTGGCGGTGGAACGGTGTTGGTCTGAACGGTAGAAGCAACGTCGACGACATGCGTGGTTGCTAGGATAGTGAAGGGTGATTCCTTGGGCCAGATTTTGGCAACATTAGAAGATACTAACAATAATTGGGGCCATGTGACCGCGCATCACAGACTCAATTGCCTATTTTATTCTCAGTAGTTTTTATTTGTAAAGTGTTTTCCCCGTCGTTTTATCATAAAAAGCAAAGTTTTGCGTGTATTTGTAAAGTGTTTTCCCCGGCATCTGTACTAACAACCCATCTTCCTGCGAGCTCTTGGCGGAGGCATTGCTGCTGCCGTTGAGCACGTCGCGGCCCAGAGGAAGAATCGGACTCGCAGGAGCATCAGCTGCGGCTGAGGAGGAGGTGAAAATGGCGGTCTCGTTGCGGAGCGTGAAATCGGCGTCGGCGGTGGTGAAATTTTCCCGGTGGGGATTTTCTTGAGCTAGATTCGCGGTGGGTTGGGGACGAAACTTTGCGGCTGTGATGAGCTGTGGCTTGGTGGATCTCAAAGATTCGACGAAGCTCCTAATAGTACAGCCGTCGATGCTCCAAACAACCACCATGCTCACGAAGACCATGGCGGTCAGGAAGTGGAACCGCCATTGATGCAGAGGGCTGGGGCGGAAAAGCCATGCGAAGTAGGGGTGGATGGCGGATCGATTAGGCGGCGGGCGGCCTTAGGGTTAGGGTGGAACGTGGAAGGAGGGGTGGGTCGGCGTCGTTTTAGGAGGTGAGGGAGAGCGTCGGTTAGTCGGTTTAACTGGCGGTTATTTACCTCGGTTAGCCGGTTAACCGGCCTCCTCAACCCTTCTACCGCCAACCGCCCGAGGTTTTATTTTTTCGGTTATCGGTTAACCGGTAACCGCCGGTTATCGGTTTAGCCGGCTGATTAACCGGCAACCGATAACCGAATGGCCAGCCCTAGTACCAATGCTCCTTACAACAAATAAGTCCCCACATGTTATCCGCTTTACAAATATGTCCTTATACAAGGTGCCCTCTGCTTTGTAAGACAAAATCCATCACTCCTAGTGAAAGCTCTATAGCCTCTATTGTTCTTTTCTTTGGTTGAATTCGATTTTGTTTTTTTCAGCTGTTTTCAACAATGTAACTCTTTTATATCAGGTTTTTTATTCGATAATAAGAACATTTTATAAAAATAAAACCATAGATGAAAATAAAAAAAATTACTGCATGAATTGAGTTGTTTTGTTGTGCAAAAAGGACGTGAAAACTTTGTTGCGGTCCATTGACAGGACCATCTAGTCTAGACTACTTATAATACATTTTAAAGAGTTCGATTTGCTCCATTTCAAATTTTCTGCAACGAGAGTGAAAGTAGGAAGTGTATTTTTGTCTACACAATCAATTTTTTATTTCATATAAAAAGATATAAATGCTAGGATTTGAACCATGGTCTTTTCCACCAAAGACAAGAATTGTAACCAATTATACTAGACACAGTTGTTGTATTTTATTAATACAAAAACATAGAGTAAGTTAAAATTATGAAAAACAAAGTACTTTTCTATCTCGGTTAGTTAGCCCACTAAGTCTTCTGTAAGTATTTGTGGTGTTTGATACTTCTATTTTCATATTTTGATAATTAATTTATATTTTTTTCTAACTTATAAATGAAAGATAATCTTAAAATCTCAACACAAATATCATTGGTTTGAATATTGCGCATTGAATTGAAATGTTTAATGAAGTGTTCAATGACGACATAAGAACACTGGTACCATACACTTCAAGAAAAATAAACATGACAAACAATGATATCAATTATCTCGACAGTCTATGCTAAAATTCAAAATTGTTTAGTAATTCAATTTGAATGATAGTTTAGTCAAATCAAGCAAATAATTCACGATTGTGTATGAACAAAAATAAAAACATATGTATTGTATTATGAAACATGTATTTATTTTAACAATCTAAAAAAAACAATCAAAACTTCCATAAGACCCCTTATTTCAATAATGTAGTTAATGAAATCATTTTTATCAGCATGATGCAATGTTCAAGCTAAGGTCCAAGTATTAATCACCAGTATATAGTATTCATCATAGTTAACTATTTCAATATCCACAACTAACTATTAATGATTATTTGCTTTCTCTTAGAGAGTTTAATGTAGCACTCTCATGCCTAGCTATGCTCTAAGCATTTGTTTACTTTTTCACAATACATCTGCAGTTATTTATTAAATCAACTTTGTTTCTAGCTTTCAATTCCTAATTATTCACTTCTTACCAACTTATGGGAATGCTAAATATATTTTTCATGTCTAATCTATTAAACATAAATGTTGCTTATCACTTAAATTCAATGGTATCCATGTTAGGTTTGATGTAACCAACATATTCTCTCAATTTCTCCAAAAAGCATAATATCTTGCGATTAATATCATAGTTTCGTTAGGTAAAGTTCAACAAACTCAATCAGTATTGGAACTCTTCGAAATAGCTATCTACATGCGAATATGAAGTACTGAGCAGCTAAAACTCTACTTGAGTTATTACAATCTTTTGCGCTATCGGTTCAAAATTCAATACATGATTATCTTATTACAATTTAGTCATACTAATTGTGCAGTAGGGGACATCTTATCAAAATCTTAAAGAAAGACTCTTTGATTGATCGCTTTCATAATGTAATCAATTATACCAAAATAGAAGTGATCAAATTTATAAGATGCACTCAAAGTTTGCTATTATTATTGAGGTTCAGCATCACGTTAGGCGTACGACGGTCATTGGGCATTTCTCTATCTCCTAGCTTGCCTAGACATGCTTAAACATTATAATAAAAATAGCAATTTTAATAATAAGGAATAAAATAACGGTTCTAAAACACTTTCATACTACGAAATAACTCTCAAGTTTATAAATTATTTTCTTTTACCAAATGATATAATTAATTCATTCATGAGCTGAAATAGCTAATTCTAAGCACTTCAAATTTAAGTTAAAACTCTATATGATGCAATTGCTTGATGAAATGGGTTTTAGAATAGAGTGGTTCTATCGAGAGAGGTCTCTAAGAAACATGGCTTACTTTATTATTCCTTAGGTGGATATAATATCTATCTTCGTCGTTACTTTTTCATTGGATTCAATTTAGTATACTTTTTTATTTAGATAGATTTTTTATGATGCTCTAGGATATAATATATCATTATATATGATGGTGTATGATATTAAATCCTCTCATTTTAGGTTCAAATTGGTGCATTTTCCCCTTTACCGTTCCCTTTTATTGGTTAATAATTTTTATGATATTTTTGACTTTAAAATATCGTGAGCGTAATCATTACACAACAATTTGTGTTTTTTCGCTTCCTCTTCTCTTGGTTAGATATTGTGTCCATATTTATTCCTATATTGATTATCGAATTACTACTTTTTGTTCTTTTTTCTGATGCAAGATATGATTTTATGTTTGACAATATAGATTTATTTTTCAAGCATGTGGATGCTTGAGACTTTTCATTTGCCTCATAACTTACATTTGACAATGGCTCCAAACTTGGATGGGTTTCTATTCAGCACATAAATTTTTAATGATGTAAAATTTATGAAACTAAGATGCATATTAATAAACAATGTAAGGTCTCATATTCCTTCTTAAGCACTACATATCATTGTTTACTTACCATTAAATCAAAGTCTTTCTAACTTGAGTTAGAGCTACAATGACTTTTACTAACTTTCACTACTCATATACCACAAATGTTCAAATCATTATCAAGTGTCCATACAATGACTTTTATAGTTGTGGATTTCCCCCAACATGTTAGGTATGTTGATTTTAGTTTTTGCCTTCTTTTAGTTGAATTTGTCAGCTGGAGATCTGCATGCTTTGTTTCATTATATCATTGAATACACTAAAGTCAATGGAATCATGACTGTGTCAGTTAGTTTGTTTCTTTTTAAGGACACTCTAAACATATACTTTGTTTCATTATATCATTGAATACACGAAAGTCAATGGAAAATGCAAAAAAAAAATTATTGTATACTGAAGATTGATTATGTGTGTGTGATGTAAAACAACTCTTATCATTGTTCTTCTCATACATTTTTATATGGATATGACTTTGTTTGAAAATATGTATTTATGTTAGTGTAGTTGGACATTGTTTGTCATTTTTTAAACTTCATTAGTCAAATACATTAAATACTTTACTATATTATTTTATGGAGAACTTACCAAATTAAATAGTTACTTCAATCTCCAATAACATGAACCATAAAAAAATATATACCTCAATATTTACTACACATACACATAAAAATAAAACTCTCCCGGCCAAGAGGCCGGGCCCTAATCAAGTATACGAAAAAAAAATATAGCTGGACAAGGAGAGAACTCAACTCAGTTCAACGGAAAGTTGAAAAGTATGCTGTGTTGGATTGGGCGTTAAAACTTAAAACACACAACAAGTTGCTTGCTGAGTCAAACGTACGTCCAATCCACATTCCCTAGTGATTTTATTTATCACTTAATTAGCGAGCACTTAGCCAATCTTTTTTCTATATTCTCTCCATATATAACGTCAAACTATAAATTCCCATGACAGCACGCCTCTTGGTTTTGTCTACAGTAAAACGACAAATAGTTGAATTCTCAACAATAATAAAATATTTAAAACCGTCATCCATTTATTAAACACGCAAACAAAATTGTTGGTGACATGGCAAATTAAATAGACTGCCTTCAAATCTAACAATGCCATGTCAGCGCTGTTAAGGCCATGTCAGCACTGTTAAGTTTTCATCCGTGAAATGGAATGGAAGTGATGGATGATAATTATTTATATCAAGTTCAGTGGTTTAGTTGAATTAAAAACGAGTTTAGTGGTAAACATAAATTAATTAAGCAAGTATACTGACCAATGCAGTCAAAAGCGCGATTCTATCTAGAAGCGGAAAAGGGATAAAATCGTAAAGCATAGAATCAAAGCGTAAAAGCGTAAGTTTTTGACGCATACTGAAAAATAACTAAAAATCTATTAATTAGGACATATGCTATGCAAAATATGAATGCACAGATAAGTTAATAAATACATGTGATTCATGCCTAAAGTAGAACAACTTATAGCATCTTAATAATAAGTTCGTAAACATAAATTTTAACAATAAGCCACTTTTCCCTCTATGCTAATGAATTTGGGAAAAGCCTAGCTGGTGAATTATATTACTCTATTGAAGTTGAGAATGCATCCAAGTACCTGATATGTATCTTCAAATCTCAAATGTATCATATTGTTGGTGATTTACTTTTAAAATATACTTTTTATAATTAATTTCATGAAAAGAATACTCATTTAGTGCACTAAAAGCGTAAAAAACGTAAAGCGTTTTGGTGAACTAGAAGTGTAAAACCGTTAGCTTTTAAGCTTTAAAGCGCAATTTAGTCCGATTTTATACACATAAGTTTTTATATGGAAACGAAAGCATTTTGGTGACCTAAAAGAGTAAAATCGTAAGTTTTTAAGTTTTAAAACGCGATTTTGACTGCATATTAGTGACCAGTGATGATTTTCACCCTGAAAATGGTATATTGGTTCTGA